CTAGTCATGATTTAGGCCTTTCCCAATAACTAAAGTTACTATGTACTATTATCTGCCTAGTTGTTAGTAGTTACTGGGTTTATTAGGATTAGTCTGCCCAAAATGCCCCAGCATGATAGTGGCTTTCTTTGTACTTAGCAAATCAAAATTGTAATTACACATTGTAACCTTTACAAAGAAAGAAACCTTTATCTTTACCTTTATCTTATCTAATATAAAACCATAAAACAAACCCAGGGGCTTGGGGGGGGAATGGCCCTACCATTCCTCAAGAAAAATCTCCATAAACTGAATATTTCCATCACTCTGAGCCTTATTTCAAGCTACTTCCAGTCTGAAAATGAGCAAAGTCATCATTAGTATGTCTTCCATTTTATCAACTGATACCAAGAAACAGTCAATAAAAACCATAAAAAACCACCTGTGAATACACCTCAAATTCTATCTGTATTGTAAACCAAACAAAGTCAGATATTTGCTTTTCCCATCCTGCACTATGCAGTGCAGGATTTTGTTTATTCTGTGAACACTCACTGCACAGACCCACTCTCTCATGTCTAGACCAAAATTTTTCCAACCACAACATGTTTGAGGGTGCTGTGGTTAAGGGCATCAATCTACAAGAGCAATGCTGGCATCAATGACAAAGATCCCCAAGGACAAAGAAAGGGTTAAAGATTCACATATTTCAGTATAGTTTTATTTTAATAATGGGAAAGCACTAAATTCAGAGGGGTACTATAGAGACTGAGGAATGGGAGGCACTAAGATTTGAAACAAGAAAGTAAGTTCTAGGATGAACTCCCTCACCAGCAGCACGGCACCCTCCTTGAGGAGGCATACTCCAGGAAAATACAAAATATTTCTATTTAGATATTAAATGTGGCAAAAGGTAACTACACACTCCATTAACAATACCAACCTCCTAAGTAGGATATATGAGTGTTGAAATTTTGATGCCAATCTAAAGAGGCTTTCTAAAGTTATCGCACGGAAACTAATTTCAAGAATGGTCTATATAAAACTGAGCAGAGGACACCTACACCTGTCAATTGTTCCATGTACCATTGAATAACAGTTCATCAGAATTGAAGGTTTGAAGCCGATCGGGTAAGGAAAAAGATAGTAAAAAGACAAGAACACTGCTTAACAATGTGCCCGCTTTGGCAAAAAGTCGTTTGGCATCAAAGGGTTCAGTAAATTAAAGTGACCATAAAAATGCAAGGTTTCAACATTTTTCAGTATTCTTCTGCAGTTTAATTTTATTTAAAATCTCTACAACCTAAACGAAAAAGTAATTTTTGGCAGAGAAAATTCTTCAGTAAATGGAGTACAGTGGAACCCCGAGTTTCGAATTCATTATTGAACACTTCGAGTTTCAACCGCTTTTTTCGCACCAATTTGGTCCCGAGTATCGAACGTGCCCCATGTTTCAAACCGTGTACCAGACCTGCCCGCCTGCCCACATCGTGAGTCAGTCTGGCTTTGTTTATGCTTGAGTGAACACTAACCTGCACTCTCATTTAAACATTTCACAATTACAGTGGACCCCCGCATACCGTACGCATTGCATACCGTACAATCCGCATACCAGACGCTTTGATCGCTAAAATTTTGCCTCACATACCGCCCAAAAACCCGCTCACCGCCCTTCGTCCGAGACGCGTCCAATGTGCGGCCTGAGCCAGCCTCATATGTTCCGCCGGTGGCATTGTTTACCAGCCAGCCTCCGCGGTAACATCCAAGCATACAATCGGAATATTTCGTATTATTACAGTGTTTTCGGTGCTTTATCTGGAAAATAAGTGACCATGGGCCCCAAGAAAGCTTCTAGTTCCAACCCTACAGCAATAAGGGTGAGAATTCCAATAGAGATGAAGAAAGAGATCATTGATAAGTATGAAAGTGGAGTGCGTGTCGCCGACCTGGTCAGGTTGTACAAGAACACCAAATCAACCATCTCTACTATTGTGGGCAACAGAAAGGCAATCAAGGAAGCTGTTCTTGCCAAAGGTTTAACTGTGTTTTCGAAACAGAGATCGCAAGTGATGGAAGATGTTGAGAGACTCTTATTGGTGTGGATAAATGAAAAACAGCTAGCAGGAGATAGCGTTCTCAAGCGATCATAAGCGAAAGGCTAGGAAGTTGCATCAGGATTTAATTAAAAAATGCCTGCAACTAGTGATGATGTGAGTGAATTTAAGGCCAGCAAAGGTTGGTTTGAGAGATTTAAGAAGCATAGTGGCATACATAGTGTGATAAGGCATGGTGAGGCTGCCAGTTCGGACCACAAAGCAGCTGAAAAATATGTGAAGGAATTCAAGGAGTACATAGACAGTGAAGGACTGAAACCTGAACAAGTGTTTAATTGTGATGAAACAGGCCTGTTTTGGAAGAAAATGCCAAGCAGGACCTACATTACTCAGGAGGAAAAGACACTCCCAGGACATAAGCCTATGAAAGACAGGCTTACTCTTCTCATGTGTTCCAATGCTACTGGTGATTGCAAAGTGAAGCCTTTATTAGTGTATCACTCTGAAACTCCCAGACCGTTCAGGCAAAAGAATGTCCTCAAGGAGAATTTGTGTGTGCTGTGGAGGGCAAACAGTAAGGCATGGGTCACTAGGGACTTTTTCTATGACTGGTTACACCATGCATTTGCCCCCAATGTGAAAGATTAACCTAACTGAAAAGAAATTAGAACTTAAGTGCCTCCTGGTGTTAGACAATGCCCCTGGTCATCCTACAGACGTGGCAGAGCGACTTTATGGGGACATGAAATTCATTAAGGTGAAGTTTTTGCCTCCTAATACCACTCCTCTCCTGCAGCCCATGGACCAGCAGGTTATTGCAAACTTCAAAAAACTGTACACAAAAGCTCTGTTTGAAAGGTGCTTTGTAGTGACCTCAGAAACTCAACTGACTCTAAGAGACTTTTGGAGAGATCACTTGAATATCCTCAATTGTATAAACCTATAGGTAAGGCTTGGGAGGGAGTGACTAAGAAGACCTTGAACTCTGCTTGGAAGAAACTGTGGCCAGAATGTGTAGACAAAAGGGATTTTGAAGGGTTTGAGGCTAACCCTGAGAGGATTATGCCAGTTGAGGAATCCATTGTGGCATTGGGAAAGTCCTTAGGGTTGGAGGTTAGTGGGGATGATGTGGAAGAGTTGGTGGAGGAGGACAATGAAGAACTAACCACTGATGAGCTGATAGATCAACTTCAACAGCAAGAGGCCAGACCTGAGGAAACTGGTTCGAAGGAGGGGAGAGAGAAATTGAAGAAATTGCCAACTACAAAGATTAAGGAAATCTGTGCAAAGTGGCTGAAGTGCAAACCTTCATGGATGAAAATCACCCTCACACAGCTATTGCAAGCCGTGCTGGTGACTATTACACTGACAATGTTGTGAAACACTTTAGGGAAGTCATAAAGGAACGAGAGGTACAGGCCACTATGGACAGATATGTTGTGCGAAAGAAGTCCAGTGACTCTGAAGCTGGTCCTAGTGGCATTAAAAGAAGAAGGGAAGTAACCCCAGAAAAGGACTCGACACCTCAAGTCTTAATGGAAGGGGATTCCCCTTCTAAACACTAACACTCTCTCTCCCCTCCTCCCATCCCATCAATCATCACCAGATCTTCAATAAAAGTAAGTGTCATGTAATTGTGCATGCCTTTTTCAGTTTGTGTGTATTAAAATTAACATTTCATGTGGTAAAAAATTTTTTTTTTTCATACTTTTGGGTGTCTTGCACGGATTAATTTGATTTCCATTATTTCTTATGGGGAAAATTCATTCGCATACCGAACATTTCGCATAACAGCCAGCCCTCTTGCACGGATTAAGGTCGCTATGCGGGGGTCCACTGTAATGTATAAAAACTGAAATTTTTTTTAAATTATATAAACATAAAAGTAAAAACCTGGGAGAAGTCCTCTTAATTGTCTTTATTAAGAGCCATTCACAAGCACCAAGAGACCTTCACAAGCACCAAGAGACCTTCACATGCACCGAGAGACCTTCACATGCACCGAGAGACCTTCACATGCACCGAGAGACCTTCACATGCACCGAGAGACCTTCACATGCACCGAGAGACCTTCACATGCACCGAGAGACCTTCACATGCACCGAGAGACCTTCACATGCACCGAGAGACCTTCACATGAACCGAGAGACCTTCACAAGCACCGAGAGACCTTCACAAGCACCGAGAGACCTTCACAAGCACCGAGAGACCTTCACATGCACCAAGAGACCTTCACAAGCACCGAGAGACCTTCACAAGCACCGAGAGACCTTCACATGCGCCAAGAGACCTTGACATGCACCGAGAGACCTTCACATGCACCGAGAGACCTTCACAAGCACCAAGAGACCTTCACAAGCACCAAAAGACCTTCACAAGCACTAAGAGACCTTCACATGCACCAAGAGACCTTCACAAACACTGAGAGACCTTCACAAGCACTGAGAGACCTTCACAAGCACCGAGAGACCTTCACAAGCACCGGGAGACCTTCACAAGCACCGAGAGACCTTCACAAGCACCAAGAGACCTTCACAAGCACCAAGAGACCTTCACATGCACCGAGAGACCTTCACAAACACTGAGAGACCTTCACAAGCACTGAGAGACCTTCACAAGCACTGAGAGACCTTCACAAGTACCGAGAGACCTTCACATGCACCGAGAGACCTTCACAAACACTGAGAGACCTTCACAAGCACTGAGAGACCTTCACAAACACCGAGAGACCTTCACAAGCACTGAGAGACCTTCACAAGCACTGAGAGACCTTCACAAGTACCGAGAGACCTTCACAAGCACCAAATGACCTTCACAAGCACCGAGAGACCTTCACAAGCACCAAATGACCTTCACGAGCATCAACACACCTTCACAAACATAAAAACTCCCTCTTCCGGTTTTAAAGGTTTGACCTGAATAGCTTACTTACTCGGGCAACTTAATACGTTTCAGTAACACACTAACCTGGTTCAAAATGGTCCCTGAACACTTCATCCTTAAACCATGAGCAAAACGCCATAGCTCGTTAAGCAGCTGTGACGGTGGTCTTAACAATGAGTAATGTGAGCAGTGTACTTAAGGCTCTTAATACTTCCGGCCGAGGAGCCTGGCCTCAGTGCTGCCACCACCTCTGCTGTGCCACCTCTGCTGTGCCACCTCTGCTGCTCTGCTCCACATCAACAAACTAGATCATGAAAAATTCCCAAATTTGGTCTGAAATTCCCAGGACATTCATCAAGTTAGTACAGCTGAGGAGAAGAAATTGAATAAAAAGAGTGTGTGTAAATTATATATATTTTTTTATATTTTATTTAAATACACTACATAACAAGAATACGATACCTTGTGACCAAGGCCGAAATACATATAAATCATAACACAAAGGATAAACATTACACGCACGCTAAACATATCGCATATAAACAACAGAACATTAACTATAATACGGATAATACCCTATACCATAAGCAATACATTATAAAACACACCCCTACCTAAACATACACAATGCACAGCATATTTATATTTTATTAGAACCCGCACATATACATATGGCTAGGTACACAGAGATAAGATAAAATGTGTGCAGTGTAAACATTAACTCAGCCGGACACTACACCAGGTCATAAAGACAAGACACCATGCATAACACAAAGCTTACCTAACAAGCAACCCACCAACAAATACATCAGGAACTAGTACAATGGGTGCAGCATACAATAGTATTGGCATCATTCCTCCTACCCCCACTAACCCCCCCCCTCCGCTCAACCAATAGAAAGTATAAGAACACACAATAATTAACCATAGGCCTGCATGTTTGCATTGAAAATCTTCAGTATAAAGGTGAACGGCCACCCCCAAAATGACTTTACAAAATACACACTGTACGCACACTTACAGAACAAAGTTACTTTTTACAAAAAGGAAATATGTTTGACAACACAGCAGAAACCCAAGCCAATCTAAGCACTCGTTAATATAACAGTGGTGTTCATATAAAAAACAAGAATCCCAAAATGGCCCCAACACATAAAACACACCATAACATTACAGTTGTAAAAACACCCGCCACAGCCAACATTCATTCGACACCCATTATTACAAATAGTGATGTTACCGATAGTAAACTTTATAAGTTTGTCATGTCCCCCCCCCCCAAACGCATACCGCTCCCCTAATAAAAAGAACAATATAACTGACGCTACAACACACGGCAAACCTCATACCCAATACCTCATAACACACACCTAAACACCATGTCTCTTAACTTATAAAGGTGTTCCAGTCATACTCATACACACTAGCCTCCCCCCGGGGAGACGAGCCAGCCGCATCCCCTGACCCCTCCCCCTATTAATCCCAAGAGAACCCCCACCGTAGACCACGATAGCTTCAGGAATCCCTCTCCCACCTTATCCCATAAAGAACCCGATCCGACACACGTTCGATTAAGGGTTGCCGCCAATACTTTTTTAAAACCACCCCCCCCCCTCCAGTTGACCCCTCATTGCCCAGCCCCACAACACAAAATCCAAATAAGGTAACCAAGTGTCCGCTGCACAGGATTCCCACCCCTCCCACACCAGACTTAGAGCCCGCAAGACCGAAATCCCCCCCTCCCCCCCATCGTACCACCCACCCCCTCCACTCCCGTATGTCCCCCCAATCGTTCACAGAAATTTGACTGCATGGAAGGCTGTATCCTCAAACCCCCACAAACCCCACAGACGCCCTCCTCAGGAATCCTCCGGTCTCGAAGAACTGCACCTGGGTGGCAGGATACCATGCAGGAACCGGAACATCACCTCCCGCTCCCGCAGCAGGATGCCTAGCCTACACAACCCACCCCAGATATCCCCCATGCATACATTGGATACACTCCTTCCACAGTCGCCACTTCCCTTTCCCTCATCACTTTCTCTAAAAACCCCACCCTCATGTGTGTCGTTTTCCTAACATACAAGAGTACCCGCAACATGTCCTCAACACAAAGCCAAATCCTTCCCTCCCCCCCATCTTTGACATCCTCATACAAAAGGTGCAACAACACCTTTGAAACCCCCCCCCCCCACTCGGAGAAACCCCCTCTTTACTATACACTCATAATCCTACTCTAAATTAATTAACCCAGCCCGCCCCTGCGCACTGGGAGAATAAAAACCCCCCTCCGTAACCAATCACATCCCAACCCCCAAATAAACCTAAAGACTCTCCTCAATAATACCACAATATCTGATTGCAACAAAGGGTACACGCGGGCCACATGCAAATTTTACTATAAAGTAAGACATTCACTACAATGACCTCTGATGAAGCGTTAAATGTCCGGCCGCAACCCATCCAACCGTCTATTCACCCTTTCACAACACTCCCAGAATTTTAAACCCTCCTAGCTTCAATACTCAATCCCACAAAAACTTAAACCCGATCCACAACACCCCCCCTCCACTACCCTCTCCCCCCACCTTCCCTCCCAATCCCCAACCCCATAAACTTAGTTTTCTTTCATTTACCTCATACCAGTCGCCTCTCCAAAACAGGTCCACAATTCTCCCCACCCCTCCTAAACCTTCCCCCTCCTGCACAAGAATCGTCGTGTCATCTACATAACCAACAATTCCCGGCACACCTCGTCCCACCCACCCCTGTTGCTCCCCCTCACGTATACCTCCACTGCTCTATAAAACGGATCCTGCAAACATGCAAAAAGTAGTTGGGCTAAAGGACATCCCTGCCGCAGACCTCTACCCATAGGGATCCACTTCCCCACCCTTCCATTCACCTGCACCCGAACACCTGCTCTATGATACAACGTTTGTATCCACCTCACAATCTCATCCCCAAACCCTTGTCTCCTCAGTATCCACCACAACGCTTCTCTCTTGACACTATCATATGCAGCCCTCCAATCTAAGGCCAACACCCTCCCCTCCATTCCTTGCACACTCTCCACAAACCCCCGAATCACCCCATGCCCCTCATACATGGTCCTTCCCGGCACCCCATACTGGCCCGCTGCCACCACCCTATTGATCACACACTTCAACCTATTCCCCAATATTTTAGCAAATAACTTATAATCCACACACAGTAAAGAAATAACCCTATAGTCCTTCACCGTGTGTGGACTGGCCACCTTCGGGACTAAGACTACCACCGCAGTTGCTTGCAAAACCCCCAGCTCACCCTTTTTTTTCATCGCGTTCAACAACCTCACCAAGAACTCCTTAAGTATGTCCATTTTGTAAGTAAAATCACATGGCAGACCGTCGATTCCCTGGGGATTTACCTCTACTCATACCCGATAATGCCCGCCACACCTCCCCTTCGTCAATGTCCCCTCCCAGCGCCATACAGTCCCCCCTGCTCAGAACATTGACCACATGCCCTCCCAACTGCCCTAATGCCCCCCTGCACTCCACCACTCCTCAAAGAAGTCCCGAACCATTCATCCACATAACAACCCATCCCTTCTGTTGTATGAAGCACCTGCCCCACACGAAACCCTCTGTTGGAACTTATTCAGTCTGAGAAGTCCCAACGGGGAAAAACACACCGTTTGAGGGCCCTTACACCCACCCAAAACACAAACACACTCACCCGGGTTGGTGAAGGTGGTTGGAAGGTACTTCTTAATTGATAGATTTACCCTTCAGGGAAGAAGTAAGTAGTTTATACTGTTAGTATACTAATTATGGAAAATTTTCTAGGGTGTTTACCTGTATGTACCTCAACATTATATACATACCAGTAATCTCATTGGGAGACAACCATATTGTTTAACGTAGTCACCCCGTGTAGACATGTGAGAAAACTTAACCACCCCTGGTCGCGGCAAGTGGTTCCTTCGACCTCACAATCTTATCCATATCTATCCGAGACCAGTATGGATTGGATAGCACCCACAAGTACGGTGCTACTAATTAATTGTGGACTGTATAGATTATATTAGTTTAGCTGAATGAAGGGGGGGGTAGGATACACATGGATACATCCATCAAGGAAAAAACATTTGTACATGATCCCACCACTTACCAGATGTTCTCTGGTGGTCACTTGATGTAGCTGGATCACTCATAACCTATCCAATTACAACATAACCTAACTGGCCAGTATCAGTCTGCTATAACTAGAAGGGTTACTTAACTGTGGGTGATTGATACTCCTTATTTCCTCCATTCACCATCTCATTTCGATGTTCTGCTACACCGACACGGTTCTCATTCCAGCAGGATGAGGTATCCGTCGGTTTGTCCCAGCCCCAGGATGAATCTTACGATTTTGTTCTGGGTGATTTGCAGTCTATCTTTCAGTTTTTTTGTCAAGGCAGAGTCCCAAAGAAGAGCAAGCGTAATCCATGGCATTGTATAAGGGCTGACATAGGTCCTCCCGAAGCCTCGGTAGGTAGACACTGTGCTTGTCTATACAGGAACTTCAGCCTGGCATTCGCTTTCTTTACTACACTGTTCCCTATCAATTCTCCTGACATGCATGGGTCCAAAGGGGATTCCCAGATATTTAAACTGATGAAACCAAATGATGGACTCCCCATTACACTGAACATTAAAATTATTTACCCTTCTCAGTTTATGTTTCGTTCCAAAGAGAATGGCTTCAGTTTTCCCTAGGTTGTAATGATAGTTTGTTGTCTACTAACCATTTGCTGCAGGACTCCAGTTCCAGTGTTAAAACATTAGCAATATCTTGGGGGGTCTTTACCTGTCACTAACAGAGCATGTCTCTGCATACAGTAGGAGTTTGCACTTGACACTGATAGGCATATCATTGACATAACATAAGAATAGTAAGGGACCCAGAATACTACCTTGGGGAACTCCACATGTTATCGGCAGGGGTTCTGATTCCGTTTTGTTGATTTTGACTATTTGTCTCCTGTTGCTAAGGTAGGACTTAAACCAGTCTACAGAACCTATACCGATAGCTTGAAGTTTCTTACATAATATATTGTGGTTGACAGTATCGAAGGCCTTTTGCAGGTCTAAGGTTACCATACCTATGAGGTTCCCTTCCGTTGTTATTGTTAAAGTCTCATAATTCCAGTATGCCCAATAAATTAATCCAGGGAGCATAGGCTTATGCCCCTGAGAGAATGGAACACTAATTAGTCCATTTTGAGGATTCAATAAATATGGATGGCCATGGAGTTGGTACCTATATGCAGTAATGTGCTG